TTTTTACTGGTAAAAACGTGTAGTGGAGATAAATCTACCTACATTTGACTTTTCAACACTTTGTTTTGTTTTCTTGTTTTTATTTAACTATTTTCCTGTCCTGTCTGTCTCTCATCTTCCTGCATCTCCTCATAATTCTCCAGAAAATCTGTTGCCTGGATTCTTACCTTTTCACCTCATCAGTTACTTTTGAGCAGATCAAAGGGATCTCCTGACCGAAAAGCGCAGAGCGCGTTTTCGATGCTGCGTGAGGTGAAATCACCACAGCACAGGTGATGAGCTCCGCAGTAGCGCGCTTCAGGCACAAATAAGACAGAAAATAGAGAACATGTGCGGACATGAACGATCGTGTGCTAATTATAGTTTTTTGGTTGCGCCACTTTGAGAATGGACCGTGCGCTGGAAGCAGCTGCCTGGATCGCTGCGCGACAATGCGGAACCGGTTCGCAGCAGCGCAAGTCTGCCGGCTCTCCCTCGCGCTGATCTGCGGCTCTCCCTCGCGCTGATCTGCCAGCTCTCCCTCGCGCTGATCTGACTTGCTCTGGTCTGCGCGCAACGGCGGGCGGGAAGGGGGGGGGGGGGGGGGGGGGGGCGCTTTTGGAAGAGTTGTGCGACACAACGAATCGATGACGCAATTCGTTGCCAACGCTTTTAGTAATCGATTTTCATCGAATTTATCGATTCGTTGTTGCAGCCCTACTAATAATAATTAACAATTATTATGAAATTAATTCACAGAACACCAAACATATAAACATCTGAAAATATTCCAAATTACTGTAATCGTTTTTCAGTAGATCCCAACTCACCAAAAGTGGGACAGAGGCTACTCACGGTGGGATGTGATGCTTCAATGCAACGAGAAAATGTAAAAATGGTTTTGAAATAAACTATTCTGCATTTTATTTCTAACATGACTGTTAAATATAAATAACAGTATGATATGATTGATGTCTTATATATTCTATTTGAATTTAACTTGAACAAGCAAACAGCAAAAGCTTTAATGCTGCTTCTCTGTTCATCTCCAGTTACCACAGCTTAACTCACTCAGGCTGGACCTTCTACTGTGGCTCTGAGTAACTTTAGAAGTAGGGATGCACCGATCAGGTCTTTTGCTGCCGATCACCGATACCGATATCAAAGAATGCTGATCACCGATATCGATCACCGATACCGATCATGTGGATTGGCCAGAACTTTTCTACAACATTATAATGAGTGCTACAAACTACATAATCTGGGAATAAATTAAATGTAACCTAATCTAAAATGGTCTGTATTAGGGTTGTCACGGTGTGAAGATTTAACCTCACGGTGATTGTGACCAAAATTACCACGGTTTTCGGTATTATCGCGGTATTTTTTTAAACGTGTTACATTTTCACACAATTAAATAAACCCTGTATGTCAGGAAATATTGTCTTCAGTGTGTGTCTAAATTTTGCCTAAAATGTGTTATTTTGTAATTATGTTGTTTATTTGTTTACATTTTTTCCCTTTAGTCTTTAAAATACCAATATTTGCCCATAACTTCTTATTTTTTTCTGTTTGATGTCATCATTTAAAAAATATTAGATCAGATGATACTCAGTACTCAAGTAGCCTTCTAATCAGATACTTTTTTACCCTTACTTGAGTAATAAACCCTATATCAGGAAAATATTGTCCTCGGTTTGTGTCCTTCCAGTGAGCTTTGCAGATGTGGGAAAACGTCATCAGGCAGTAATCATTGTTAAATTCATAATTATTCTCGGAGAGAGACCAACTCTTATCTGCCCCTGGGAGCCCCGTAATGCATAGCGTCATTTCAACATGGCGGTGTCCGCGACACGGTTTATATGCAGGTAGCGGCGCTGCGGCTGCTTTATATAGCGACTCGTTGCATTCTCCCTCAACCCAAATCCTCGGATCACACATTTTAGCTAAAACGCTAACGTTAGCTTGCCTTGCGTTGACTGTAGAGTTGTGGGTGATGGTCACACAGATGTGTCATGAGATTTGAAGCGTTGCTGCCTTTCACAGACACTTTTTCTGCACGTGCTGCAAACAGGATAGCCGTCTTCTATCAACTGTCCCTCGGCATTCTTCAAATATCCAAAAGATGCCCGTACTTCCCACTTTGTCTTCTTTGAGGGATAAAAAATGTCCTGAGCGCTGCCGTCTCCTCCTTTGGCCATTATTTCAGCTTTAGCTTCAAGAAAGTTTTGGCTGTGAACAACACGCACATGTGCCGCCGGCAATTTCAGCAGATGATACGGTGGCTGGTAAGGGTCACCGCGCCTACACCGCAGCCACGGTAAACCCACCGAGATAATATAGTTTTTTTTTTTAAAACAAGACGGTTATTATTATTGTCAACTTTTTTACCGGGGTTTACCGCTACACCAGTTACCGTGGCAACCCTACCTGATTGGTCTGCTTTGATCTATTTTGAAAACTCCGATCAAAACCAATAGGGGCGCTATCGGCCGATTGGGATCAAATGCCGATCCATCGGTGCATCCCTATTTAGAAGAAGAAAGAAAATATAATTTCTATAGCGCCTCTCAAGATAAAAATCACGAGGCGCTTCACAAAAACAAAAAATGTAAAAATATAAAAAATAATTTAGAAAATGGTTAAAATATATTTAAAATGAGCAAAAAATAGACAATTGTGATTAAAAATATGTTAAGAAAGAGAGAGTGAACAGGAAAGACGGAAATCAGTGGATCATGAGGAAGGTGGAATAGGTGGGGAGAGCAGAATAAAGTGAGAGTGATGAAGAAGATCATTCAAAAGACAGCTTGAACAAGTTGGGACTATGTTGTGGTGGTTCAACCCAATTTCCCCAGAAGCTAGCGATGGATAGCTGCCGCTCTCGGCGGCTAGCAGCAGCCTTGTGGCTAGCACAACACATGTGCGACTTTGAGTTTATGCCCATTGACACAATACTTATTTTCTTCTTGCGTATCGTTCAGTATGCCTCCCTCACAATCCCCTAGACTGGCTGCAGCCATTCTTTGAAATCCGGGATATCCAGCCAGGATGCTACAAACTTGCACTTTCCCATTCTCGTTGTGCGTTCACGTTCACCAACATTCTCTTCCATCTTAACATTTAGGTACGTTTGTAATATGCACCGGGAACACCAGAGCGTTCTTTGCACTTTTGAACTTCCACCCCGTCCGCCCTGGTGCTCTGAGAGAAAAATTACTAACACATCCACAACAGCGTAGTATTTTTTAAATCTTTTTATGCTCCCTCGGTTCGTTAAAAAATAAGACTAAAACAAACTGTTGGCTATCTAATTCAGAAAAAAATCTCTAAATTTAAGACTTTATAAAGCCGTGATAAGACTTTTTAATACTTTTTAATGGTCTTAATTTTTCCAAAATTGATTTATCACCTTTTAATACTTTTCAAGACTCTGCGGATACCCAGTTATAATTTAACAGTCCCAGGCCATATTAGATCTCCACAGGCGACCAGCATGACTAAAGCCTCGCACCGAAGCCGGTCAGCCATACGGGTGGACTACCCCACAGTCCCCGGTGCCATTCCTAGCTTCTTGGGTTAGCTAAGTTAGCTAGTAGCTAGATTAGTTTCATTTGTTCCAACCCTATTCCAAACGTAACAGCCCCACTCTCAGCTCCACCTCTTTTCCCATTTTTGGATTGTCCGGGCGTGACTGTCAAAAAAATCAGTGGTGGGAACCTCCCATTTTTGGCTTCAACTTTCCCCCTGGCAGAGCAATGGGTCACACAGTCTTACTGTAAACATGTTTATTTCTGCTGTGAAGTTGGCATTTTTAACAAGACTCGATGGTAACTTGCTCCTTTCTGGAGTCAACCCTTGGTGGTTGAGGGGGAAAATGCAATTCTTGTCACTTCTGCGTTGCCTTCACTTTTGGCAGGTGGAGTTTCCCCCTTGGTAATAAATGCTGAGTTTTAAATACAAGGGAAGAAACTGTTTCACTAAGAAGCAAGATAAGATGCTAATTTATGGACGTTGAGGTTGTACAGCTGGCCTGTGGTCCATTAATATTTGTGCCGCGAGCTCATATATCAAATGTGTATCAACTGGCCCGCAGACGTATTTGTCGCAAATACTACAAATCCGAGGGTGCTTTGTAACGTTAGCATGTCAGTCAAAGTGCCCCCTTTCTGTTTACAGTCAGAGTCTGCAGTTATGCAAAAATAAAAGTTTTTTTCCACAAATGAAAACATTAAACAATACATATCTGGAGATAAAGGAAAATATGCACATTTACTGTCACTTTTTCAATAAACATAGAATTTGTCTGTTTTTCATTTTGGCCCAGTGTGAATTTGAGTGCAACACCCCTGTTGTACAGCGTCTTATTGGCATGGCGCTGAGTAAAGTTTTTATGCATGCCTGACTGTGAGGAGTCCCTGGAGTTGACCATGAACACAGATGGGTTACATATTTCATCTAGCTACCAAACACCTTAAAACGTCCCAGGAGATGCTATAAAATGCTCAGAGAAAGGACATTTCTGCAAAAATGGCCTGCTGCCACTATAAAACACAACAGTTAATCAACAGAAAACTGATACATGGGAGTATTGAGAACACCTACAGCTGTAACACCCATAAACAAGCCTACAAATATGAAGTAGCCATGATTGCCTGAAGAACCTCACAGAGAAACTCATGCAATCACTATCCAGCAGAAATGAACGACTAACTTAAATCACTTTGAAGAACCACTTGCAAACTAAATAGATGGTATATCAGCTGGTTAAAATGTTTCAAAAAGGTCATCTCATATTCTCTATATATACACAGATTCACAATGACAATAATTATCCAGACCACTAAAGTGCTCAGTGTTTCCCCTACATAGGCTCAGACTGCGCCTACGACGTCACCTCAGAACACCCACAGGTAGGGAATAAAACAATAGATTTGCCACAAAGTCATGTGGGCTCAGCCAAAATGGACCTGTTACAGATTTTGTTGTCTATTGTGGACAAGAAATCTGGTTTGTCCTACCTTACTTTGAATGAGGCAAATAAGTTGTCTGATGACTGCCAGTGGTGGATAGATGTTCGATGCAACTTTCAAAGAAACAAAAAAGATTTGTTAGGAACACTATACACTATAATTGCAGACAAATGACCATGAAAAAGATAATTAAAACATTAATTTACAGATGACAGAAGGTTTTAAGCATAAAAATCAAACACCATAAGGAAAAGGGATGTTATGTAGACATCTGTCTTTACAAGGAAAATTAATCTTATTAATTTGTCTTTTAAAGATAACTGTAGGTTTATGTTAATGTATTTAGCAGACACTTTTGTCCAAAATAGAACTGGGCGATATGGCCTAAAATCAATATCACGATATATTGAGGACTTCACCTCAATAACGATAAATGGACGATAACTACAGGAACGCACAGAAGTAAGTTGAGTCACATTTTAACTTGATTTCAGGTGGTACAGGGACATGAATGTTGCCAACTGACACAAATCTTAACTTTTTTATTGTCAAACTTATTGACATGGGAAAAATGATCAATAAGAGCCAGAAATTTCGATAACAATAATTTTTTGATTTATTGCCCAGCCCTAATCTAAAGCAACTAACAAGAGATAATGAAGCCAGCAGGTTGCCTTTGAGGCTAACAACACTAATCAGTCAGTCCAAGGGGGCAGTGAGGCAGTATGTGCATTACACCGGACAATACTGAACCAAATGGAATTCAAAAAAGCTTATTACACGAGATTACAAAAGATATTAACCAGATCTTAAACGTATTCATTAGCAGGGCCTGACATTCACTGCGGGATTGCGGGTATTGCGCGTTATACAGTCGCTTCTCGCAAATCTAGTTTTATAACGCAGGAAAGTCCCGCACATTCTGCAGCGAATGTGGACGTTTGTATCGGAGCCATTAAAATTCCACAACGTCGAAATACGAGCTCAGTCCCTTACTAGCAGCAAAGCAGTGCTTCGGTTGTCGGATTTAACGCCTGCACGCAGACATGGACCGCTGGTTAAAATGGAAATCAAACTACGAAGGGGAACCTGCTCCAAAAAAAACTTTACAAGAAATCCCCAGCGCGGAAGGCAGCGAGGGAGGAGGCGCTGGAGGCAGGGCGGGAGGGAGTGCAGATTCCAGCGATGCTGTGAATGAGACAGATCCTCCGGACTTTCAAGAAGGTAGCGTCACTGATCGTAACATTAGCAAGCAGCCTAAAGATAAGTTTCAGGCTAACTGGCTCAGACTGTATCCCTGGTTTGGAAATAATAATGGTGAAATGAACTGCTTCATTTGTAAAATGTACGGCGCTGTGCCTTTTGCAAGTCGATGCTACAAAACATCAATATTACGCCGTCACGCTGATGGTGTCTCTCACACTGCAGCAATAAAAAGAAAACATGAGGCAGATTCAGCTAAAAGTGTAATGGCCAAAGCTATCAAAGATGCACATTTACAGTCTGCTGCAGAAATGAAGGGGCTCCTGAAAACTGCATATTTTATTGCAAAAAATGAAATGGCAAAAGCTAAATTTTGCCATGTGGTTAAATTCCTGAAAGAAATGGAGTGTCCTGCTTTCAAAAATCTTACAGAAACATCAAGCTATGGTAGCTATATCAATGAAAAAGGACTGTCAGAAATGCAGCAAGCTATTGCAAGCACACTTGTGGAAGATGTTGACAAAGCTGTTGAAAGAAGTCCCGTGTTTTCATTAATATTGGATGAATCTACTGACATTAGTAACACCAAACGACTGATCATCTATGTCAGGTTCATAGATGACAAGGTCAAAACAAAACTGATAAGGAATTCTGAAATTGCTGATGGAAAAGCAGACACTACTGTTGAAGATGTAAAACAGCTATTGACAGAAAAAAACTGGATGGAAAAAAAACTTGCTGCAGTTTGCACTGATGGAGCTGCTGTAATGACAGGATGCAGACAAGGAGTTATTAAAAAACTCAGAGAGCTATTCAACCCAGACCTGGTAGGAATCCACTGTACGGCTCATCGTCTCGCACTTGCTGCCAGTGATGCAGCCAACTTTGTGCCACAGGTGAAAAGGTTTCAGCAGGATTTGAGATCATTTTTTTTTCAGTAATTCTGCTGTCAGAAGCAACAAGCTGCATTAATTGCAGAAACAGCTGGATGAACCCCAACTGAAGTTCATCCAGCCGCATGCAGTAAGGTGGCTGTCAATTCACAATGCAGTGTCAGTAGTGTGTAGATCACTGAAATACCTGAGATGTCCTGAAGCACGTGGCTTCCTCTAATGCATAAGATGATGACAAAGCTAAAGGTCTGCTACTAGCTGTGAGACACATGACGATGGACGTACTGATGCATGTAGTCCTTCTCTCAAAACATTTTCAAAGAGAAGATCTGGACTTCTCCACAGCACAGCCAATGTTTGAAAGTACCAAAGAAGCCCTGAAGGAAATAATCGTCCACCCTGGCCCTGCAGAAACGGAATTCTTCAGCTCTCTTGATGGAAACAAGTTTAAAGGAGACAAAATTTTTGACTGCCACACCCAAAAACCAGCCTTTGATGACATGAAGAGCAGGTACGTGGGATCGTTAGTAACAGAGATTGAGAGAAGATTCCCCTGTGAGACACTGGATGTTCTGACATGGTTCACAATTAATTTTGGAGCCAAAATAAGCCATTATGGCAAAAAAAGTCAGATAACTTTTCTCATTATGGCCTTGAAAAACTCGACAACTTTCTTGCGCACTTCTCAAACTATGTAAGTGCAGTGGATGGACGCTCGGAGTTTGCCTTGCTGAAGCAAACTATGGTTTCCAGTGACTCGTACGCCTCATTGACCTTCCAGCAGTTTGCAGAGGCTGTTTTGAATGACCATCGGGGTTTGTTCACTGAAATGGAGAAGCTCATTAAGATCGCTTTAGTCATCCCAGTTGCCAGTGTGTCACGTGAATGTGGATTCAGCACGCAAAACAGGATAAAAACATGATTCAGAAACCCTCAAAGTTTGTCCTGACATTCGATCTGCAATAGTACATTGGAGCAGCTCTGATGGCTCTGATAGGGACAAAAGGAGAAGGATAATGGAGAGTTTAAAGGGACCGGCTCTGGAAGTAGTTACGCCTGTCACCATATTAAAACAGACAAATAAAGGATAGGAATAAAACTTTGAGAGTATGAAGTGTGACATTTTCAGGGTGATTAGGTAGTCACAACCAGGTAAGTCAAATCAGCGTAATAGAAAATACATAATTGCATAAAGCAAAAGACAAATGAGAGAAGAGGGATGTTATCAAGACAGACAAAAATGCTGACTAAGAACTTATTAGACTGCAGCAAACCAATTCATCCTATATGGATGATGCATTTATACACAGTACCCAGAGTTTTATATGCTATGACACACTTTCAGCAAACCAGTGCAAATGGGCATCACCCTTTTAGTTAATAAAGTCTGTCCATTTTCTGAAAGACTGTCACTATATGATTGTGCACTCTTGCAGGCAAAGAAATGTGGATTAGCTCATGTACTAACATGACACACACACACACACACAAAAGCTTTCATCCTCTCCTCTCCATCAGAGGGTGAAATGACATGATACCTCTGATCCTGTCAGAGCCCAAAAATACACAAAGTAATAGAGCTTAGTGGGCCTGTCAATCCCTCTCATTTCTCACCAGATGCTCCTAGTTTGTACCAAAGTTTTGGATTTTATTCTGATGTTGATTGCATTTGAGATCTTGGATTTACATAGTGTGAAAAACTTGGTTACTGGGAAAACATCCTAGTACTTGTTGAATAATGCAATGACTGCATTATTATTCTCTTTTTCATTCTATCATCCTGATGCACACAAGCCTCACCATAAAAACCACCATCATCTAACCTGGCTGTGTCATCTTGAGATAAGAGTTTGTCTGATTGGCCAGTAAAAGTGTTGGTAAGTAGAGCATGAGTGCATGGCATCCTTTGCAAAACTAATACTGAACATGTTGAAAATAAAACACTTTTTAAAAATATGGTGCAATTGTAATATCTGTATATTTCTAGTCTTTAATCATGAAGTTTTGAGTTCATGTTATGTCTATTTATTGTTATCTCAGCCACAATAATCTACTGCAACAGAGAATCTTTATAAATTTGAATGAGATGTTGAAAAAAACAGTTTCCTGGATTTTATCAGATAACTCCATTCCATCTCTGATTCTCAAACCCAATATAAGACCTTAAAGGGCAGGTCAAGCCTGCCTCAGAGTCCTCCTCCACCCACATATCAATTTTGAAAATTGCAACATTAGTAGGCGTGGCCTGGAGGACCGAGAGGGCGGAGCCGCGGCAGTGACGAAGACGGATGGGTAACAAGACGAAGATAGCTCCCTTCACTCTGAGCGGTCATTAGAAGTGGAGGACGTTTCTCCCCCTCCTTACCCAGACACTCAAGAAGAACGGGACCAAGTCTATTTGGAGGAGACAAGCGGACCTGAGCCTTATTGTTTTGAGCTTGTGAGTTGCCTGAAACTACCGGAGCCGACCCAACAGAACCAGCTCTAGGTAGCAGTTAGCCATAGCATTAGATTAGCTGCAGGGTTTGGTTCCACTGCCTTAGAGAGCTGTTATCAATCATGTTTTAGAGGTTTATCTGCTTCAACACACCTGATTTTAATCAGCAGCAAATAGCTGAACAGCTAATCTAACATGTTAAAGCAGGAAAACCACTGAAGCGTGCTGGAAGCAGCGCTCTACGACACGGCCAACTACCCTGGGCTAAAGTTACTCTCTGCTGCAGTTGTGTTCATTTATGATACACAATCACAAACATCCACCTAAAATTGCCCTGATTTCATTATTTACTGATGATCCTCAAGTGTCTGCAGCTGGTCTCCTCTGGTGGTGTCGTCAGGATCAGGAGCTTCCAGAAGAATGTGCCTTTGAATGATTCCTTCCCCCTCTAATCAGTTATTTGTTATATTATTTAAATAAATCTCAATTTATATATTGCTGTTTTTGTTCATGTCCTTAAATATTTAAACACACCTGAGTTTCAAACGAGCTTTTAACAGTGAGATGTTAGTTTAATTCATCACATTAGAGCTAGTTAAATGTGCATGTAATTTATAAATATCCATTAAAATATAAAAACTGGAATTAAAATGAGACCTTTTGGCAGCACAAAGAACATGTCAAAAACAATATTTATTATAATAATTGTAGGCAGACAGGAGTCAGAGCAGGATGGAGGTTCTCAGTCATCGAAGGATGGCCGGAGGCTTTCCAGGAACAGGAGATGTGGTGTTGTCTCTTCTCTCTCTATTCTGCCAGATGAGCTGATAGGTTACAGGTGTGTGAGGACATCCTCATGCTGTCATAACCAGATGACAGGAGTTATCTAGTGATCAGCCAGGCTAATGATGAGATGCAGAAAGAAAACAAATCCAGGACAGTGTACAACAATAATCTGTGGTGTTGCTCACCTCATGTGCTCTTACAGAATATTGACGCATGCCTGCCTCATGATGTAGCATCCATATTTTGCTGAGTGTCCTACAATAATGCAGGTTATTAATTTACTTTTGATAGCAAAAATAAAATATTTAATGTAAAAGTTATTTACCAGGTGAATGAGCTCACACGTCACCAAGTGTCACAGAGCCAGGATCAGTAGTCTCCTTCATGATGTCATGATGTAATCTAGCTACAAGCTCACAGCAGCAACACACGTGTAGCAATAAGCTATGAAACTAAAACATAGATGATGTTAAAACTCAAAGGCTGTAATGAAGATTACATGATGATTAAAAACAACTCACCTTTACTACACCTGCAAGGCTTCATGTTAGTCTGGACTATTTGTGGCTGCAACAATCGGTCTGACAGCAGATTTCTTGGGTTCATTTAGCCTGAAAAAAATATTATAAATAACATCACAGTGTTGTGGGAGGTATTCCAGAGATGATGAGAAACATGTGGAAAGCAGAGCAAGAATGGAGCTACAGGTTTTTCTGTTAGATCAGGAGGTCCTGAGGTAAAATGGGATGTTAGTGTGAGTCTGGGAAGCTAATCCTCTCCAGTGGTGACCAGCCAGGCTGAGATGTAAGGGAAAAAAACAATACGGAGTAAAATATTATTATTTAGAATGTTTTTACCTGGATCAGTTCATAGAGCTTGTACTGTCATTCAGATGGAAGCTGCTCAGAAGCTCTCCACCACACCTGGGTCTGTTCAGGAGTGTAGAAGCTGCTCTGGGTGGAATTCCCATCACGGTCCCAGTGTCATACACACTGCTGCTGGGAGGTTATGTGAAATATAAAGAAACAGAAAACATATTTATAGCAGCAACACACGTGTGTAACAATAAGCTAAATAATTACGTAATGTTAAAACTAGAAGGTAAAGAAAGACAGATGGTTAAAAATAACTCACCTGCAAGACTTCTAGTCTGGACTGGTGCAGGCTGGTGGAGGACTACATCAGTCTGACGGCAGATTTATTGGGCAGATTTAGCCTGAAAATAATAACATCACGTTGTTGTGGGAGTTTAGTAACTTAGGTCATGTACAAAACAAACTGTCTAATATATGTGCTTTATAACACGGCTGGTGAGTGATCTGACTGCTCTCAGAGCTAACTCAGGGTCCAGAATCAGACATGTTCTAATGAGAACCGGACTCAGCACCAGTTCAGAACCGGGTCAGCTTTTTAGCAGAAGGATGAGCTACTCTTCAGTGTCCCTCTTGCTCTGCATCAGCGCTGATATTACTAACTGGCACAAAAACTTAACACGAACCAGCCTGTGACATTATAACACACTGCAGCAGTGTGGACTGATTTGTCTAAATTACGTGAACCACGTCCACGTCTCTCTTACTTTGTAATTATGAATACAGCAAATATGGCTGCAAAATTACAGGTAGGGAACAATCCTTAGAAGCTGTTAAAAGTAATTATTTAGCTTACTCACCTCATATTGGGCCCAAAATCTCCGTTTTGAGGAAGCAGCAGTCGGCGGGATCCGGCTAATTACTGGAACGGCTTGGACTAATTGCTCTTCAAACCAGCATAATCCAGTTCAAACTCAATCAAGTTGGTGAAAGAGTAACACGTAAAAAACACAACTACAAAATCTAACAGCCAAGCTACTAGAATAAATAACTATAATACTAGAAGTTTTGCTGGGACTCTGACCCAATGCTAATGCTAACTACAGCACAACTCACTTGCGGCTAATCCGAGCCTCGACTGCTACAAGGCTGGTTGAGACCGGTTGAGACCGCGGTGCTTGTATAACCTACAGCCACAAAGCTGCTACGTAGTACTTTTCTGAAATACGTAGCATCGTTCTTGTTAGCCATTGGCTAAAACCGACTCAAAATAAACGCGTTCTATACTTTTGAGCTGAAGATAGCGATAGACTCGTTTTTAGACAGAATTTAGTTTTCAAAGAAAATGCATCAAAATGCAAACATAATAACTACACGTCTACAACACTATTAGACACTCATTTATACTAGTTATCAGCTAAAAAAAAAGTTGATTTTGATGTGACTTGCTCTTTAAACAAGTTTAAACAAAACAGAACAAGATATATATATATATATATGAGCAACATCTCACCCTCAAATGTAAAAAATTAAACCATACCAGGTAGGGCTGCACAATATATCAAAAAATTATTGTCATCGCGATAACATGATGTGCGATAGGCCCATCGCAAAGCACGTCAAAAACGGCGATAAATGTTTGGTTCCAACATTTTCATCCGTGTCATACATCAACTTTTTGTAAACCAGCTCTGTTTTTTTACACGGAAGTATTATTTGACCAATCAAATGTAGCCCTTCTGATATGTGGCCAATCAGATGGGTCCGTTCATGTACTACGCCCGCCCCCTATGTAGACCCTTAGGATGGAACGCAACACCCGAACTGAGTTAAGCTTGGTTTATGCTTGACGCATTCACTTTCCGCGCGGTGATGCGGCTCACGGATGGAACGCGCTTCACAACTCGCAGCGTTTATGGTTTGTGCGGCTCGTCTCTGTGGTGAGCCAATATTCTCCCAAACTGAACGGGGCAGCATGGAGCTCTACGGCAAGCATCCAACACTACACCATAGTAGAAGTAGAAATTACTGTTTACAACACGACATTTCAGCATTTTTAACAGCGTCCTCGTCTTTTCCAACAGTGCGAGCTATTTCTCTCCAAGAATTATTTACAACATGTTGATCACGGTGATCTCTGAGAGCTGAATCATACAAATGTCTGTATTTACCAACCTCTGCCATACTAGTTCTTGCCGGTCCGCCATGTTTTTCCGCGTCCGTCCGTCCGCGTGGTTAGAAATTTTCCGAGGTGCGCGTTGCGAAAATCTTGGGCCGTGCGGAGACGCGGTGGAGGGGCGTGGTTGTTAAAATGACGCAACTTTTCCACGCGGAGCTGTGCGGACCTCGCGGACGCGTCAAGCATAAACCAACCTTTAGCGGCACTGTTCCCTTGTTCGTCATACTAGCTCTGAGCAACGAACGCACTTTGTGCTGAGGTTTCTGGAATCAGCGCTGCTTTCAAACGTGAACGTGAGTCCGCTCGGTGTCGCTAAGCAGCTGATAATAACCGGGCTGACTCCGACACGTACCGGTGAACCAACCCACCTTCATGTCGCTAGTGTAGAAAAAGACATCTGATCAGGTCTTCCATCCTTTAAGTACTAAATAAATCCAGCTGGATTAGCTCAATTTCCTTTAAGTATTTTATCTCTGATCTGAAAGGTTTCCACAGCTATCTTAAAGAATCCTTTTGGCTTTTCTATCTCAAAATCAATGCAAACGTTGAATTAGTTCTCACTGACAACACACCTTTAGCATTTGTATTTTGTAATGACCGTGTAACAATGTCGTTTTGCTTTACAGGGACTTTAAGTCATTAATGAATGAAATCTAGATTTAGTCTTCTTTGTTACAAATTAGAATAAGACATGTGGCAAAAAGACTGGGCAAAAATACTAAAAGTGACTCTAAATACAACAGCTGACCACAAAAACTATAAAATTGATTAAGTGCTTTATTACTTCTCGACACCAAAAGCTTGTGGTAAAATCAGCTGATGAAAATTTATTACAAAGGGCATGTGTTCAGTCTTTATCTGTGGAACAGATTAGTCACAGCAGCTGGTGAATGAAGGTTCCAACGAAAACTACTTTGGGAGTTTTCAGACAGAAATTAGTGCAAATATGGAGCATTGTAAGTTTTGTAGTCTTAAAATAACTTTCAAGGCCTTAATCTTATAGAAAGTAAGTTGAAAGTAAGTTAAGTAAATTCATAAAAGATTTTAGGAAAATGAAGTGATTCTGTGCTGATTGCACCTACGTCATGTTAGCATGTTATACATCAATTAGCAGTCTTCACCAACACAAATACACGGTATTTATCCATTAAAGCGAGAAGTAGGACAAAGACAACGGCTCACGTTGCTAATTAGAGAAGTTTTTTGGACAAAAAGCAACAGTCCTGCGGGCCAGCATGAGTCTGCATCTGCTCACCTGGTAGTTTCGCTCCCTTGCACCTGTTGCGCAGTTAGCTCTGAGCCATTTCTGCCCTCGACGCAAAACAAATAAAACCGAGGCATCTGTTGTTCTGAATCCCAGACAAACACACACATACATTCAACAAAACACTCACCTGAATTTAGAGCATATTTATCTCATCCTGAGAGGCTTTTCTGCCGGCCGTTAAAAAGTTCTAGAACGTGCTCTCTCTCTCTCTCTCTCTCTCTCTCTCTCTCTCTCTCTCTCTATGCTATCAAAGATGGCTGCCGGAAGTTGTCCCATCTGTCTGCTTGGGAGGTCAAAAATGTAAATTAAATTAAATTAAATTAAATTAAATTTATTTATGTATTTATTTATTTATTTATTTATTTGAAAACAATTCGAGATTTCTGGCAATTCTGATGAGTGATTCTCCAATGCTCACTTGAAAATAAGTTTTACATAAGTTGAACATGATTTTTGCTTCTTTCTGTTCCCTTTTCATTTTTAAATTTTGTAGACCTGTTTCGTGTTTTGTTTTTATTTGTGAATAAATTTAAATAAAATTTAAAATAAATAAAATCATAATAATAATAATTGCTCACAATTTGCATGAGAGCTGCCCACAATAGCTAGACCCACTTTATCTAAATGTGTAAAGGAACAGCAAAACAGAATACGTTTAAAGTAAGTGCTATAAGTAATGTTTTTAAATCTCTGGTATCTTCTCAATCAGCTGAGGCAGGTTTCATGGAATACATTAGGCTACTCTGATGAGAAAGTAGGCATTATGAAAAGAAACATAAAACATGAATCAGGGGAAATTCCAAATCAAAAAACTTTAATTAGGAGTTATTTTTAATTATCAGGAAAGAAATTAGATAATATACATATTTTTGTAATTTGGTGGACAGATCCATGCATCTTTTCTGTTAAAAGAAAAACTTCTGTTTTCTTTCGAACCTTGGCCTCTGCTACTCACGTTATTGAAATCCAGCACAGCTTCTGTCTGTGTGTGCTGCTCAAATGAAGGAAAACTAAATCATGCAAAACCAAAATTCTGGAAGTTAAGCAGCCAATAAAAAATTCAACCAAGTGTAACTTGACTGAAAGTTAAGTATCAAGGTTCTGTTTGTAGTGCTGTTGTTTTTCACTCTGTTGGTTTTAAAAGACAAGGAAACAAGGAGCTGTGTGCTCAGCATAATCCACTTCAAACCATCTAGAGTATGTTTCTCCTCCATCTTTTTTTGGGAGCAGATTTATTTTCTAGACACCTGGGGGATGATTTACTCTGTTGTCAGAAAGCGTGCAAGTATTGACCAGGCACTGATAGATTTGATATTCATTCTAGGTCATTTCACTGATTACCTCTGTCTCCTTCTCAGTGTGAAGGTATGCTAATCTGTCATATCACCAGGGGTGAGCACCATAAGTCCAACATCATTCCTCCTTTTCTCTGCGACACGAACACCATGCTGATAGCTCTCCTCGGCTGAATAGCTGTGGAAATTACAGAAGCTGCTTGAAAAGAAGCCCAAAGAAGCCCAGGTGTATCCTCACAGAGGGAGCTCCATCTTCAAAGCACAAATCCACACAATAACCACACACCATTTATGACACAGCAGACAAAACATATTTAAACATAGAGAGCATACTAAGCACCAAAGCACGTTAGATTATTTTTCCGTCATCTAACTGGCTGCACATTGATTTTGCACTAACTATACTTCGTGACATCTTTGAAACCTTGTGACCTCGCCTCTGTCAGTGCGCCCCAGGGCAGCTGTGGCTACATCATAGCTCATCACCATCAGTGTGTGAATGTGTGTGTGAATGGAGGAATTATACATTGTAGTGTAAAGTGCTTTAGAGTCCTTACTCTGAGAGGCGCTATACAAGTGTGGGTCATTTATCATCATTTATCATTCGTTAAATGAATTTTCTTTAAACATCCAAGCGTTCAGATGTCTGTTTACACCTAACTCATCAGGAGCAAGATTAGCATTCATTTGATGAGTCCAAACCAAATTTTCACACCTCTTTAAGCTCTGTTTTGATCTTTTTCCTGAAAACTGAGCTCAATTCTCTGTAAAAACACTGACCTGCTGATGCAGAAACTGTTCCACGGCCTTAGACGTGCTGAAAAACAAGGCTGACTTTTCAGATTTTCCACTTTCTAAAACTAAAACAACAGAAAGCTGCAAACGCTTCAGAAGTAATTTTTTTATTCTGCTGAAAACATCTGCATGGTGGCGCAGTGGTTGGCACTGTTGCCTCGTAGCACGAAGGTCGAATGTTCGAAACTCGCTGTGGCCTTTCTGCGTGGAGTTGCGCGTTCTCCCCATGCATGCGTAGGTTTCCTCCGGGTACTCCGGTTTCCCCCACAGATCACAACATGCCCTATAGGTTATAAACTGTTAGTTGCTTTGGATAAAAGCATCTGCTAAATTAATAAACATAAACATCTAATCTGTTAAATTTTCAAAATACATGTCACACAAGTTAGTATAGCTGATATTTTGAGAAAAAGTAACAACACGCCTTGGTGTTCTGCAATTAGCTGCAATTCCAGAGCAACGGCATCATCTGAGGCGTTTGTTTCAGAGTTCAACAACCAGAGACATAATAATGATCTGCAATCACCTAAGTTTTTCACAGATATTTCCTTTTTTAATGTCTTCAACACACTATGGGATTCTTGTCAAACAATCCAGCTTCACTCTGGGCTTTACACGTAAATCGCAAGAGGGATACGCTTAACTTTGCTTGTTCCAATAAAATATTTATTGTAGGCTTTCCTCAGCTTTCTCAAAATAACTGTCTGACTCAACATGTACAGTTTGAATTTCTTCAGGGTCATCTGTTTCATGTTTTTCTCCTTTTATCCACTTTTAAACAAGCAGAAAATTCTGGTATTTTTGCATAAATCCACATTTGAAATGCATACACAACAGTCACAATGGTGCATGGGCCAATTTTCCAAGAGATTTCAGAAGATACTCAAATATTTGCCCCAGTTCCACTTCTAGAAGCACACGAGTGCATAAACACACTTTGATATGAACATCAAGCAGCAGAGGATGTCTGAACTCCATGTTTTGTATTCATCAAGGTTAAGTTGATTTGAAACTCCGTATGCACCTCGGTGGATGGGTTGTCAGCTAGAATATGAACTTGCATCGTTACTTCAGTGTCAGAAAAGATATTTAACATTCATAAAGTGGCTGCTTGCCCATATGTGAGCAGCACGAGCACAAACACTTACAGTCAGCCGGGCATAAAAGTCACCCTGCCCTTGAGCAGCAACAAACATCGTCCTTTTGTTATTCAATTCCTTATTCAGGACAATGCACATAAATAAACAATCAAATACATTGCATCGATTGTAAATGGGCCGCCATAAGGCGTAGGATTCCATAGGAAATATGAAATCCACCTTATGGATCTGTGAAGTTATTTAAACCAGAAGATTGGGTCTTTTTATTGCAGGGATTAGATAACAGCTTCGTATTCACTCAGAGACAACAGAAGAGAGAGAGTCAAGTTTAAAAGTTAAGATTTTTATTACTAACAAATTAAACTAGACTAACTTCAAAACTAAATGTATGGTGTAACTAAAGTGGATGAGGCGGTGAATGGATGACGTGTGAAGTTAATCAGAACCAGCAAATCCGAAGAAGCGATTAGTTCTGACGGGAACTAAAGGTGATGTCTTCACATTAAGCTTTGGTTAGGAGGTTCATAAACACATGAGACACCATTATGTCGGTCTACCTACCCTTCAGGAAGTCCTCTTTAGATCAGGAATGTCGAGGTCCAGCTTGACCTTCTCTGGAACCGAGCCGGTAGGAAAAGCAGCGGTTACCGACCAGTCCAGTCTGTGAGTTACTTCCGGGTCACAACAGTTTGTTGGCGTCTGGTGAGACCCAAGCCTTGGTCTTGATGGTTCAGCTTTTATTCTGAAAGGAACTGTTGCCGCTGCTGGAATAGCAACGAATTTTTCAGCTTGTCGTTGGTTCTTTTGGCTGAAGAGGAGAGTTCAGGATTGGCCACTCCGTCACTTTCTCTGGAACGCTTTGAACTGGTGTTAGAGCTGACGTGGCGTAGTTTTACACTTCGGATGTTATGGTTGATTGTCGAATAAAAAATTACCAAACACCATCAGAACCTCGCCTCCGTCAGATCTGTAAGATTCTGATTGGCTCAGTGAAAGTAATGTGTCATGTCCTTTAACGCTACGTGAAACTAGTCCTGTTGGAACATTTAAAGTCATAATACCTTATATACTATAGGATTATTGTAAAGTTATTAATATTTTGATTTCACAGATCGGTCACAGAGAGTTCATTCTTCATTCTTCTGTTGAGCTGAAAACAAGCAGGTTAGAAGGAATTCATGATACTAGTCTTGTGCATTCTGTTACAGCATAGTTGCTAATTAGCATCTGTAGTCCGTCAACAAGATAACTAAGTAAAACAAGTAACACGATACAATTTAAAAACAGTCAGATAGAAACATTTCATTAAAATAGAAAAACAAAAAAATAAAAATAACTAAAGATGCAAACATGTCTGGGAACCTTTAAGATGTAGTTTGAGGTGCTTTTTAAAGGTGCTATAAGTGGGAAACTCTGATATTCGCTGGGATGTTGTTCCAAAATTGACTCCCTCTAACGGACAGCACCATATGTCCGAACGTCGTTTTCCTGTAGGGGATCTGAAGGTCTCCTCTAGTGGAGGCTCTAGTGCCATAGCCTTAGTCTGGTCTTACTTTTATGTATGCGGAAGGTGGAGGTGGAGCTAGTCCATTAAGTGCTCTGTAGATTAAACAACTATTTTTGAACTTAATGACATTTTTAAAATTAAGCATGTTGTACTTTGCCAGAATATTACAATGGTGATATGACAAAGGCTTTTGATCCAAGGTTTTTATAGACTTTTTGAATAATATTTCTATTGGTTTTAAAAGAGTGTCCCCAGTGAATGACCAGGATGTGATGCAGTAGTCTATATGAGAGAAAATCATGGAGTGCAAAATCATTGTAGCTGAAATTGTAGTCATTGAAGATCTAATTTGTTTAAAGTCATTTATTTTGAATTTAATTGTGTTCACTGTATGTTTTATATGTTTTTAAAGGATAGTGTCGGATCCACAGTGATTCCAAGGTACTTGAACTCTTGCACCAGGTCCAGCTCTACCTCCCCCAAGAACACGTTGGACCGCTCCAGATTTACGTTTTTTTTGTGTGAATATCATTGCAACAGTTTTTTTTAGTAAC